TATATATATATATATATATATATATATATATATATATATAGCTAAACAAAGATTTCAATAAAGTAATTTAGGCCTGAAATAGTTTAATATAGAAATGTATTATTGGAATAGATTCTAGATCTTTGTTAGGGTCTAGATCTGTCTATGTCTAATTTTGCCTTAGATCTAGAATTTAGAAGATCCAGATTCAGATCTACATCTAGAATTGCAGGCCATAAAATGCATGCCTTGATTTGACAAGTAATGGATCTCATTTTTAAATGTGTCCATTACTTTTTATTAACAGAATTTAAGCAGACTAAACAGATAGGTGTGGTGGGGGTGTGTGGCAGTTATCTATGTTCATAAGAAAACGGCGTAGGGGGGTGGAAGCAGGCGTTGTAACTGAAATAGCAATATTAACAGAAAGTGATATTTCAACGCCAAGGGTAGACAAAGGTACAGAAAATAGTCCACGTAAAGACAAGCAGTCAGACACCAACGGGGTTGGAACCTACCATTTCACACGGCACCTATTCGCCTTCGCCTTTCTGTTAATATAGCTATTTAAGAAAACGGCTTGTTGTGTGATGCAAATATTTGACCCGTGCTGACAACAACGCAGTTGTAGGGTCGCTAACAACATAACAACAACGGTAAAAAAATAACAAAAATAACAAAAACGCAAACGTATTCTTTTCTTAGCCTTTCAATATATATATTAATAAAAAACACATGTTAAAAAAATAGTTGCTGATTATAAATTGGACTAGACTAGCTTGTTAACTGACTGTCAATGGGGGAAAATACATGATTAGCATAAAGAAATGGTTGGTTGAACAAGCGAATGAGAAAAACATTCTACAATCAATGTTCCTGCACTGTATTACTCTCCATTAATCTTTGTGTGTTAAATATATGGACATTAGCGGAGTACTGAATCGTGTGGTGAAGATGGTGAATTTAACAAGGTCACATGGGCTCAACCATCGATAGTTCAGAGACATGTCTAAAGAAACAAACACAGAATCTCAAGATTTACCATATTACACAGCAGTTAAATGGCAAAGTTGTGAGAAAGTTCTGAGCAGAGTATTTAAGTTAAGAAAGGAAATAGTTAACTGCCTGGTAAGTAAAGGCAAACAACAGCCATTAATGTCTGATGAAGAGTGGGTATAGAAATTGTGGTCTGCTAAAGACTTCAAGAGAAGGAAACCTAGTTTCTGATCTATATACCCAACGTAAGGCCTTCAAATCCAAACTTGTCATGTTTTGGTACAAGTACAGGCCAACAACTTGACGCACTTTCAGCAGTGCAAGGTCTTCATGGCTCAAGCAACAGCTAAGTTCCCCACGTCAAAGAACCCCAGCTGAAATTTCAAAACCCATCTGAAGAAAATGTGGCCAATTGCCAAGATAAACTGCAGCTGGAGGTCATTGAATTGTAAGAAAATGACACTCTTAGTTAAGTTCAAAGAAGGGCGGGTGGGTTTTCATAAGTTTTTCCTAATATTAAAACTTTCGCATCAAATTACTTTTCACATTTTGGAACAATATACCTGTGTGAACAAACATTTTCAAGAATGAAATACGTGAAGAACAATTTGAGAGCAAACTTGGACCTCGAGTGTATATTGTCTGCCCCCGACTGTGTTTCTTTCAGATTTTTTTCCTCGGGGTAGGGGTGGGGGAGTCACTTGAAATATGTATATAATTCTATATAAATTATATTTCGTTGGGAGGGGGGGGTCACTTGAAATGTGTATATAATTCTATATAAATTATATTTCGTTTGGAGGGGGGGGGGGGAGAGATAACTGGAAGAAACTGGCCACCGAACAGATAGTTGTAAGTTTAAGTTAAAGTTGTAATACTCAAGATCAAACTTTAAAAAAAAAAAATTATTATTTTATGTTAAATATAGGCCTATATATATATATATATATATATATATATATATATATATATATATATATATATATATATATATATATATATATATATTTTTTTTTTTTTTTTTTTTTATGTTAAATATATTATATTTGAATTATATTTGACGTCTATATGGAAGCATTGATTCAGCGATATCTTCGCGTGTCCTTCAAATGAATTAAAAACAAAGATGTTGTGTTTCTGTTTGAAATTACAATAAAATTTAAAATATAAAACAAACGCAAATCTGCCGTTTTTTGCATAGTGTTTGAATCACGTTATTGTTGATTGTGTTATATTCCATAAATCAATGAGTATTGTCTATTTTATTTTGTTTCCAATTCCTTTACCAACATGTTCTATATAGTATGTATTTACTTCCCTTGTACGATTTCCAAACAAGGAAACAAATATTGGTAAATACTTATTTGCACCAGATTAATTTTTTTTTTTAAATTGGCGACATTATATTGAATACTATGGGGTAGGGATACATTTCAAATGAACTATAATAGAAAATATGCAACTTTGTAAGACACGAAGGCGTCTCTTTATTAGCGGGTTTAATGCAACTCAATTTAAAGTTGCGTGTGTTCAATTTTGCAGGCATTATGTTGATACAATAATTAATTATGTTGTTGCAATTGTCGTTTAAACCAGTTGTCAGAATAGTCGAATGACTGATTTCACCCAGTGGCGTAGCGAGGTCGGGTGTCACCCGGTGCGGCACTTAATGGTGTCACCCCCCCCCCCCCAGAGGCATAGAGACCCTTCCCAGGGACAAACTTTCAAATTTTCGATTTGCACCCCCCCTCAAACTTTCGATTTGCACCCCCCCCCTCGAGTTTTTTTCTATATATTTTTCTATTTTTTGCCTTGGTGTCACCCCCCTAAATGGTGTCACCCGGTGCGGTCCGCACCCCCCGCCCCCCCCCCCCCTCGCTACGCCCCTGATTTCACCGATTATCACAGTACCACAGAAACAATTCTTATATATGGAGAGCTCAAGTGTGTTTGATCCATGTTGTGTTGTAGTGTTATTTATACATGTAACAATTTGCTAATAAAGTGATCAGTGGCCTGAAGGTATACTGACCCACTCAGAAGATTGTACGCACATGTATACTTTCACGCACACGTACACGTACAAGTTCACGCACACGTAAACCTACACGCAATTGTACACACACATGTTCACGCAGGCGTTAGCACATACGCACACGCACACAAATAACCACGAATTACAATTCAGTTTGATCAAACCGCACTAGAATAAAATAAACCTTCTGTAGCCAAATCCCATCAATCGAGTATAATTGCTCTAGAGTCACCTGCCCGTAAGTTCATAATAGAAAACATTCATGTGCAAATAGTGCGGATGTTTTTCATGTAGCTTCATGTTGCAAACATAATCAGAATCCAGGAATTATCGCAAGACCACAAGTATTGTAGTCAAGTCTCCCTGATCATTCATTCATTGAGACAATGAAAGCGTGTTGCTTTTGAGATCCTCAGTTGCGATCCAGGTATTTAAATTGTGACAGCTGTTTTCTTAGAAGTTAATTAGTCGAGATTTTTGTTTTGATTGATTGATTTGTCCCCATCATACATGAATACATGCGAGTGATAATGTTGCTGTAGCAGTTTGTTCTTCTTTCTTCTTCTTCGTCGCTCTTAATTTTAGTGTTGGAAGGGATCCCCTCGAACACAATTAAGTATATGTGTCAACTGGTTGTGCGCCATTGAGGCCATCAACTCCGATTTCAGCTTGCATTTTTTTTTTGGGTTTGCTTCTTTAGCTATTGTCCAACAAAGAACACACTGAAAGGCAGCAGTCGTTTGATTTTGCAGTTTGTTCAATCTTTCACAATCCCATTCTTACTAATTAAGAAGATCCAACCAGGTAATTGCTAAGTGAAAGACATCTTGTTGTTATTTACTTAGGAAGAGCTGTGTGTACAGAGAGGGGAGGATATATACTAATCTGTGGTCTGTTGTGTGACAGTACGCTGACCAACACTATCACAAATGATGTACCATGGCAACAAACACACCAGCTGCCAGATGAAGAAGAATGGTAATGAGATGACCAAACACCCATCAAGCTTTTAAACAACATAACAAGATAGGCCTTGGAGATACTTGACCTGGGAGAAGACATCAAGAAAATTTGATACACCTGTGGACCGTTGGAGAAACTAGCCTGAATACACCTGGGGACAGTTGGTGAGACTAGCATGTATATTCCTGGTGACAGTTGGAGAGACTAGCCTGGATACATCTGTGGATAGTTGGAAAGACTAGCTAAGGACAGAGATCCTGAAAAAAAGCTCTTATCGGCAGGCTATGACCCACGAGATGCGACACTTGCCTATCCTAACAAAACGCGTGTGTTTACTAACGCCTTCGTATGATGAGTTGTCCTTAAAGCACTAGCATGTGCTCGATTGTATCTAGTTTCATTATTTAAGTTAACTACACATGGCTGTACATCTCTGTCATCGATTTGATACCCATACATGTATGTGATTGCAGTCTGATTCTCCTAAATTCGTTTGAGATTTATTTAGAATGGACTAATGGTTTTCGATTCAACATTTAAATAAAACTAAATCAATCAATAGCAGTGGCGTAGCCAGGATCGTCTCATGGGGGGGGGGGGGGGGTTCCAATTTTTTCCAGTATTATATATATATATATATATATATATATATATATATATATATATATATATATATATATATAGACGCAATAACAGTACTAGAACACAGCAAACAGATAAAAGTACTTATAACATTACTTACCTATAATCGTAGTTCAAGTCTTCTTGGACTCTTGGCTAATTCATCAAGAACCCCATCCGCTAAAATTTCAATTTGTCGGTGAATATTTAATAATGCCATTCCATTTAGTCTATCCTCGCAAGTAGTATTTCGCAAGTACGTTTTTAGCCGTCTGAGAGTGGAAAAAGAGCGTTCGCTAACGGCAGTTGTTACAGGCAATGTTACACATATTTGCAGTAGTTTGTGTACTGTTGGAAATATTTTTACGTCACACATTAAAAAAGCTTGATGAGCGTTTTGCGGTACATTTCCACTTGTAATAATGTGGCGCCACCACAGTTTCAGTTCTCCAATGCTTTCATCGATGACACTGCTGTTAATCAAACGTTCATATTTTTGCATAAGTATTATGGCATTCTTTTCCTGTTCTTTGGTAAAACCCGAGTCATTGGGTAAAAGACACATAAAACCTCTCAAAACAGATTTATGTTTTAACAATCTGTCTCCTATTTGACATATAACCGAATCAAGGAAAGGAATAAATACAGCTATTCTGTAATACTCTTCAGGCGTATTTGCCATAACATTGCAGCGTTGAATTTGTTTTCCAGCTCGACGTGGAATAAGTATATCTATGTCGAAGTCCTCACAAATGTCTTTGACTTCATTAAATACGGTAGTAAATTCTGATTCAGCAACCTTCCGCATATTCACTAGTAGGCTACTTGAATCTTCTGTAAATTTTAGAGCCGCAGATAGATCAAAGTTTTCTGTTTGGAGTATTCTGCTGACAGGAAGTGTTATTGCAAAGATTTTTGAGATAACTCTAAGAGAAACTTGAAACTCAAGACTCCTAATTGCTCCTAAAAGTTGAACCGCTGTTGAAGAAGTTGTTGTATCGTGCCAGGATGACATAATTTCCAGTGCATCAACAGTTGCTTTTTGAAGCTGTATAAAAACGTTGACAGACTCATGACGCTCAATCCATCTGGTTGCGCACAATCGTTTAAGTCGAGATGCTGATGCTTTAGGTGTTAATTTCTCTATTGAATTTGCAAGCAAAGATTGTCGTTTTGGTGTGTTAAAAAATGTGTATGTACTATTAAGGATTCCCATACAGTTTCTCACAGCTGGTAGTTCGCAGGCATCAGAAAGTGCTAGGTTTAGACTGTGAGATGCGCAATGCACGTAAATAGCCAAATCAAATTTCTCAGCAACATATTGTTGCGCCCCATGAAGTCGACCACTCATTGCAGCGGCTCCATCATATCCTTGACCTATCATAAAATTACCGTCTATGTGTAAATTTGCTAGAGTGTCCATTAAAACATTTGCAAGTCCTTTGCCTGTTAGATCAGTTACACCTACACACTGTAGGAAATCCTCCCTTATTTTCTTTATGTCGTTATCATAGTAGCGAACACACAACGAAAATTGCTCCATACCAGCTATATCACTAGTTTCATCGGCTAAGACAGAAAACAATTTAACAGAAGTAATTTTCGCAACAATCTTTTGAACAATTAATTTATTGCACACATTTATCACTTCATTCTGAATGGTGGGACTTAAGTATCTTGCATTTTTTGAAGAATTTTCTAGATGATGTTTAAGTGTTTCGTCTCCACCCATGGCTTTGTATCTCAAAAGAGCTCGAAAATTTCCATCATTTTCGTCAGGATCCTCCAACTGAAAATTTCCGAAATCCCTGTGCCCCCTAAGTGCAAGACCTTGTCGGCCGCAAAAAATTATAGTTTCTATTATGGGCGCTAACCTTAAACGATTTTCTAGAATTTGTTGACTTAATGATGAGTTCAAGGCGATGTTAATAGGTTCTATTTTTTTCTCCATAACCGATTTACGATTTTGGGAAAGTAAAATTGCTCTTTTATGATATTCACATTGCTGGTGCTCATTAAACTTGTCTGTTGCCTTTTTCCAGTTTGAAAATGGAATTTTCGATAACTTACCTAAAGGCTGACTACCTACACCACCATAATTCAAACTAAAAAAAACACAATATTTGCAAAATGCGCCATCAAGTAATTTGGAATAAGTCAACCAGTTCCACCTAAGTAGCCACGAATATTGAAACTTTAAATTTCTTTGTCCGCTTGCTGGAAATTTAAAAAGTTCTTCAAGACGCCAGATGTTTTCTAATAAATACAACCGTGTATCATCTGTAATAACTCCTTTGATAAAATTGCCGATATCATTTGCATAAGAAACAGTCAAAGGTGCTGAATTTATGGAAATTTCTTGATGTAATGTAGTTTGAGAGTCAATAGTACCATCTTCATTTTTATCATTTTCAGTTTTATTTTTCTTTGTAAAGAAATCAGTTAATAAAGTAGTTTTAAATTTCATTTTTCCATCCGACATCATTAAAATGAATTTAAATTGCTTTAATTATCAAAAAGATACACATTAAAACACGACTATGCGAATAAGAAAATAAATAATTATTGGTCTTTCTTTTCTGACTGTCTAAAAATGACTACTGTAGGTTCCTGGCTCTACATCTATATTTAACCACCTACGCAGTTTTTATATCTACCAACACTAAGTTTTGTGTCAACAATTGTGGGTCCAGCCCACGCTTTCCTGCCAGATGTGCATCCGGTAGTAATTGAGACGTACCCGTATTCAAACCCACCCTCACCCCCCCCCCCCCCTGTCACACCCTTTAACTGATAACCTTGTGTCCTCTGCCATCTTTATCATTTTCAGTTTACTTATGTTTTTAAAAATTAAATAGTTTTCAGTTTCCCTGTTTCATCCGCCATTAGTGAAATGAATTTCAAATGTTTTGAAGTAGTAAAAACATACACATTATAGAACCTCAATGCGAATAATAATCAATTCCTTCGTTGTTTTTTTTTTTTTTTTAATTTCTAGACGCTTTCCGGTTGCACTACAATCATATTAGACAACAAAGGCCTACCCACGTAGCCCACCCCTGCCCATTCGACACTCCTTAACTGATCTAACCTTGGCCAACTTTCCCTTGGCCTACTGCGTTCCAGATTATTATACTTAACTTTAGCACGATAATAAAATTCATAACTAAATTCTATAGGCAATTCTCATCACAATGATATACATTGTTGTTCTAGAGGCTGCCAGGTTAAGTGTTTAGTGTTTAAGCCCTAAATAATATCGACACAAGTCATTAGCTGTAGCTTAACGTAAAAAGGTAGTCATATTGGGGGTACATGGGGGGGGGGGTTATAACCCCCCTAACCCCCCCCCCCCCTGCCTACGCCACTGATCAATAGCATGTCGGCTTGGTATCGATACATTGCCTTAGGTACAGTTTACGCGTTCTGATCGGGCTGAGTCTCAGGTTGTCTGTTGAGGTGTGTTTACGTGTTGTTGGTTGCATTGTTTGACTAATTGTCTGTGGTCGTGTAGTTATGATATGTTTGTTTTCAACATGGAATTACAACTAGAATGTTTATGTGACTTAGTAGACGCGTTTTGCAAATAATCTGTGGAATGGCTTGTGGGATGTCTGGGTAAAGTTTAAACAGAAGCCATACAACAATGCCATACTTCTTACAGTGTTATAAACATGTGAGCTAAAGATGTATTATGACAATTGTATTGTTTTTGTGAACATCCAGTTTACTAATTACTTCCCATTTTAACTTCTTATTTTAACAAGGGAAACAATAATATACATTTCAGAGCAATAGCTATGTAAGAATTTGAAACAAATAAACACTTATTAAACAATGAAATCGGATATGTACAGTAAGTACAAAAAACAGTTTGTAAGAAAATTTGAAATAATTCGGTGAGTGTATCTTTGTTTTAAGAGTAATTTTTTGTTCCGCTTATTATACAAAACTTTATTGAATTAGCTTACACCTTTTAAAGACATTCGAATAAGCCGATTAAACAATTTTTCACCATCAAAACAATCTCCTATAGCAGGGGTCGGCAACCTGCGGCTCGCGAGCCGCATGCGGCTCTTTTGGTGTCCAGTTGCGGCTCTTCAGCTCCATGCACAAATATTAATAATTATTTTATTTTCAAAACTCATAAAGATTAGTCTGCAACACTCGGTAATAAACGATATAACAATAGATATAAACAATAAACATTCACTATTCTATTATAGTATTTAGTTTCTCCCTATCTCAATGTACTTCCTATTACATTGTCCATTCCGAATTTAAACATTTAACTTCATAGTGGATATCACAAAGAAACTAAACCAGCTAATAGTTAGTGTAAAACTGAAAGGAAAGCCCGGATTATGTCTTGCTTGAATAAGTGGTTTGTTTCGAAAAAAAAATACTTTTTTTGTTGAATACATGGTGAGCGGTAAAATTACTAAAGTACGAAAAATCTGAAAAAATATCGTTATGAAACCAATGCTGCTATTCAATCACTTCAGCATTAATATAAACAAAATGAAGGATGTTTTCACTGAGAGATTTGAGCACTTCAAAACAAATGCAAGTACTCTGACTTACACAGAAGATACTCTCAGCACAAATTCAAATGAGATTATTTCATATGTTCAAAGCTATTTATTTAAAATTACATATATAATATATTTGTTTAGGATTATTTATATATATATATATATATATATATATATATATATATATATATATATATATATATATATATATATATATATATATATATATATATATATATATATAATCCTGAACAAATATACTATTAACATAAAAATGTTAGTGGCTCTTTGAAAACTGGGTAATGTTGTAAATTGTAACTTTTGGCTCTTTTGTCTCAAAAGGTTGCCGACCCCTGTCCTATAGCAACCTATACTATTTTTTAAAATGTTTATCTAGAATATTAATTAGAGATGAAAAAATATTCGATAAATATGTACTATTAACAAATAAGAGAAAAATTAAAGTAAAAACAAAGAAAAAATATTAGACTTCGGTGTATCAGAGGCCGTGTTACATAATAAAATATTGATATTGTTAACGGTACAAGGAAACATGTAGAAATATTGGTAGCGTATTTATGGTGATAATCAGTAAAATGCTGGTATTCAACCGGTAAGAGGGTCTGTGCCGCTTCTTTACCGGGAATATAGATTCTAGTATAGTTTTACTAGAGGTAATATCATTAAGGTCTGATGATTAAGGGTCAATTCAATGCCCAAAGTTTACAGCCTTATTAGAATAATAATTTCTTACCTGGTCCTTGTCTCTGGCAAGGGTTTACGGCTGGTGAATAAAATAAAATAGCAGGTCCGATGACTACGGGTCAACTCAATGCCCGCAGTTTATAAGTATACTATATATAGCATGGTGTTACAGATTGAAATCATAGGTATATCGAAAGCAACCATTTGGTTTCTTCCATCTTTTATTCCTATGATGCCCAATTCAGTGTACACATAGTCAAGGCTCCAGACAAGATTTATGTCTTTTTCTGAATACTTTTTGGCACTACTACTTGTGTAAGAATGTACTATTATAATTTAATTACATTAATTTTTAAGCCAGATTATTACAATAAGTCATTAGTATGTATACATGCGTATTATCATGTGTAAATAGTTAAAAAAACGATTTAAATGCATGTATGATGATATTTTGTGATCTATTTTAAGAATAGCGGGAAAACAATAAGGTGTAAAAGCAAATCAATTATTCACCTGTTAGAGTATATGCATACGAATAAACTAAGGCGATTAAACTAACACATTTAACAATGTAAATAAAGTAAAAAGTTAGGATAAAAAAAAAACGAGCATGAAAAACGAGCGCCATAAAAGTTATAAGAGTTATAAATATACTTCCCGTCCCGGTCTTTCCCGTGATCGCGGTGGAGCCAACGTTATTTTAAATAGTGAGATAGATTATTGATAGGATGGGGCGTTATAACCATTCACTAAATTTATTCAAGCGCGTTTGCCGGCGCTCCGTCAGGGTGCTATTCGGCGCCTTGGGCTATCACGTGAGCGCTATGACGCCTGCATTCTTATGATCGCCTTTAAACTTTGGGAAGTTGTGGAGAATCCCTTTAGGGAGGTTTCTGCGGGAAAAAAGTAATTGTCGCTTCGACGGCGCCCGTACGTTTTAAAGATTGTAATAAAATATGGATAAGAGTAGTATTATAGTATTCCTAAGTTGAACCTGAGACGTCTAACCGTCAATTAAAAAGTTGCATTTTTAAGTTGATTTTTTTTTTATTTAGCAGTACACAATGTTCATAATGGTGGCAAATGAAATCAAATTACTTGAAGAAAACAAAAGCAATAACGAAAGTAGATAGCTTAAAAAAAGGTTTTGTAGTTTGTTATAAAACAATTTCCTTAACTTTGAGGTTTTTCTTAATTAATGTTATCTTAATATCTGTTGTATCATATAATCAAAATATGTTCCTTCAATATCCTCATTTGTGTTCTCTCACTCAAAAATAAAGCAGAAGGAAAAACCAACTAGCAGTAAGAAATCAACCTGTCACACAGTGATAGTCAAATTTTTCAGATATTTTTTTTTATAATCATATTTATAATAACAAATATCACCATTCATACCTTTGAGCAAATCTAACCCTATAAAAAAACAGCATTGAAAACAAATATACAGATATTTTTAGCTTACCTTACAAAACCTCTGAGTAAATATTAAATGGGTCCTAACGTAACCAAAGTTATTTATAAAATAAACTTTTATCATTTAATGTTACAACAAGTAGGTTTTCTTTTCGTTATAAATCAGATTTTAAAATATTTAAACCTGTACAAAATGTCAGTTTCTTTTAAATTTTGAGAGATAAATAAGTAAAATGAAAAACTAGTGAAAGCTGTCTTTTGTTCATTAACGTTTACAAAATATACACAGGAGAAA